TCCCACTCGACGACCTGGCAGCCTCAGCAGATAAAATACTGGAGATATCCAGCAGACCCGTCTCCAACGTATATTCTATCTGCGACAAAACAGAGCGCCAGGATTCGGAGGTGACCAAGTTGTGCAACTCTGTGAAACGGTTGCTACGATCTCGAAGTCCTAGATCACGTAGCACTTCACAGAAACGCACCTTGGCGCATCGCAGCAAGTCGCGTGGTAGCCCTAAAACGAAACCCAACAGGGTGGAAAACCCTGAATGGTGCTGGTTTCATAACACTTACGGGGATGAAGCCAGAAAATGTCGTAAACCATGCCGTTTTAAGAAGGACACAAACTCGGGAAACGGTCACGCCGGCACGTGCTCACGGCAACCGTAGCCGGCGGAAAAAGCCGTTTGCTCTACGTCACCGACATTAAAACGAAAGTCCGCTACCTCGTCGACACCGGCGCAGAAGTTAGCGTTCTTCCAGCAACGACAAAGGAGCGTCATCTCGACCCATCCTTCAATCTTCAAGCAGCCAACGGCAAGGCAATCGCGACATTCGGGAGACGGTATGCCTACCTCAACTTAGGTTTACGCAAACCTATTCACTGGATTTCCTCCTGGCAGACGTCTCTATGCCCATCATTGGCATAGATTTGCTGAACCATTACGATCTACTCGTAGATGCTCGCCGTCGACGACTGATAGATAACAACACAAAGTTATCTATTGGCGGCACCACCTATGTAGGTCCGAGTTTAGCCATCGTTAGGACTAAACAATCAGGCGACGCGTCCTACCAGGCAGTTCTGGAGAAATATCCAGAGTTACAACAACCGAAACACACTCTTCCGTGCATAACCAGCAATGTTATGCATCACGTCACAACCACAGGTCCACCTGTGGCATCCAAAGCTCGCCGTTTAGCCCCCGATAAGCTGCAAACGGCGAAAAATGAATTCGACCATATGCTCGAACTGGGCATTATCAGACCGTCGAACAGTCCTTGGGCATCGCCATTGCACATGGTGCCCAAAAAGGATAGCAACGACTGGCGTCCGACCGGTGATTACCGAAGGCTTAACGCCAAAACAACTCCGGACTGCTACCCTATACCCCACGTTTACGACTTGACCGCAACCTTATGCGGCATGAACATTTTCTCGAAAATCGACTTAGTCAAAGCGTACAACCAGATACCTATGGCAGCAGAAGATATCGCGAAAACAGCCATTATTACTCCTTTTGGCCTGTTTGAATTCCTGCGCATGCCTTTTGGTCTTCGGAATGCAGCACAAACATTCCAACGCTTTATGGACGACGTCTTCCGTGGTCTGAATTTTGTTCATGTCTACATAGATGACTGTCTAATTGCGAGTCCAGATAAGGAAACACACCTTAAACATTTGGACCTCGCATTCGAAAGACTCAAAAAACATGGCATCACAGTTAACTTACAGAAGTGTGAAATAGGAGTTGAATCACTCAGCTTCCTTGGGCATACCATTGACAACAAAGGTATACGCCCATTGAGAGATAAAGTGGCGGCTATCACAAACTATCCAGAGCCGACCACTGTGAAACATCTCCGCACTTTCAATGGCCTGGTAAGTTATTACCGAAGGTTTATCCCTAACTGTGCCTCTGTCATGAGACCACTCACAGATCTACTTCGAGGAACTGCGAAGTTCGTGTCTCTGGACAACGCGGCTAGACTTGCTTTCTCCAAAGTCAAGGAAGCCATTTCGAACGCAACCATGCTTATGCATCATGACCCCAATGCTCCTCTGAGTATTGCTGTTGATGCATCTGATTCAGCAATTGGAGCAGTTTTGCAACAGTTGACTGACAACCAGTGGCAACCGTTAGCCTTTTTCTCGAGGCGGCTGCAAGACGCGGAAACAAGATACAGTACATTTGGTAGGGAACTCCTAGCCATGTACTGTTCTGTACGCCATTTTCGACATTCTGTGGAAGGTCGTGATTTCATTATTTTCACAGACCACAAACCGTTAACGTTTTCCCTCAGCTCGGCGTCTGACAAATACTCCCCTCGTGAGTCGCGACAGCTGGATTACATTTCCCAGTTCACGTCAGACATCCGCCACATTTCTGGAGCAAACAACTCCGCAGCCGACGCACTATCTCGAATAGCTTCGATAAACTATATCGAGGGTATTGATCTCGTTGAACTAGCTCGGCGTCAAAAGGAAGACCTTGAGCTGCATCATGAGTTGTCGTCCACAACTCTCAAACTGCGACTTTGTCCTGTTGGATCAGACAAGGATGCAATTTTGTGCGATGTCTCTGCTAGTCAACCACGCCCAATAGTTCCGAAGAGTTGTCGACGCAACGTCTTCAATACGTTGCACAAACTCTCTCATCCAGGTGTACGAGCCACCATTAGGCTTATCGCACAACGTTTCTGCTGGCCTGGGATGAACAAAGACGTTAAGGAGTGGGCCCAGTCGTGCTTAGCTTGTCAAAAGTGTAAAGTCACGCGACACACGAAAAGCCCTTTAGGCTCATTTCTAGCCCCAGACATGCGTTTCGACCACGTCCATATAGATATTGTAGGACCCCTACCAGAATCTAATGGATGTACCTACCTTTTCACCTGTGTTGATCGTTTCACACGATGGCCGGAAGCAGTACCCATTAAAGATATTACTGCCGAAACAGTTGCTCGTGTTTTCGTCGAAAGATGGATCGCGAACTTCGGATGTCCATCCTACGTCACAACCGACCGTGGGCGCCAATTTGAGTGCGGACTATTTCACGCTCTAACGGCACTTTTAGGTTGCACTCGGTTCCGAACGACAGCCTACCATCCACAAGCAAATGGCATGGTAGAGCGTTTCCATCGACAGCTGAAAGCTTCCCTTTCAGCTACAAACATACCTCAGTGGACCGAGGCTCTGCCTCTAGTCCTACTAGGTATTCGTAACGCGTTGAAAGTTGATGCTGGATGCACTCCTGCAGAACTCGTCTATGGGACCACTCTTCGCCTACCAGGTGAGTTTGTTTCCCCTTCAACTTTCAAACATGTTTCCGACAGGGCATCTTACGTGACTAGGCTTACAAACGCAATGCGTTCAGTTAGGCCTTCTCCGATTAGACCGCAAACGACTGATGTTTTCGTCCACCCCAGTTTACAGAAGACATCACACGTGTTTGTTCGCCACGACGCTGTTCGTCGACCACTTGAACCACCCTACGACGGGCCGTTCAAAGTGATTAAGCGACATGAGAAATTCGTATAATTGAGCGAGGCGGACGCGAAGATACTGTCAGTATCGACCGTTTGAAACCAGCTTATTTCGAAGGCAACCCCATTGTAAGTGACGTTTCAGCTCGCTACATCCGACCGACGGATGACTCAATTATCGAAATTCTCGACGATGTGCCTGGTAATGCACAGCTGCAACAACCAGCGGCGCAACAAAAAACACGATCAGGTCGAACCGTCAGGTTCCCAGAGTACCTGAAGTCATATTCAACTTAGCTGTGTGTGTGCCAACCATTTTTTTTTTCGAGGCACTATTTTTCTTATTTACCGGCAGCACAAACCCTCGTACACTTTGCCTTTTTATATCAATTTTTATTTACCATGTAATAAAAACTAAAAAAAACCGGCGAAGATAAGCGTAAATTTTTATTTTTCGATATGTTTATATATAAATAATTCCCATTTTTACGCAACGTTTTCGTGGTATTAAAGACTTTTATTTATATTCCAGGTGCAACGAGCACTGGACGGAACGTCGAAAGGAACAGATGACCGCGACCGACGTACAATTTCATTTATTGTATTTTATTTATTTAATCGCCACGACACCCTAGAATAAGGTTCAGACAACCAGGGGCCACCTCACGCAGTGAGCCCATCGGAGAGTTTTACCAGTGGAGAAACCACTGGGTTTTTACTTCCGGCTGGTATCGTCTTAGGGTCCTCACGAACCCACTAGGGGGGGAGTGATCTGTAGCGTCATACACTTCCCCAAAATCAATAGCCTAGGGTTTGACGACTTCGACATTGATGCTGACCTTGATAGTTTAACTGGACTCGCTAAGCTGAAGGCACCCGGTCAAGCATCCTCGCCATTTGGCACGCTGTCGTGTTACGTTGCATTGCTCGTATTCGACTCTCTAGCCAGTTAGTTGGAACGCATCGGTATTTTGGCATAACCATCCAAATATACTATTCCATCCGACTACGCTATCGTGTTCTTCCTTGGTCTCGTATTCGTGGGTATATAACAAGTTCGAATAATTAGTGATTGGTCTTTGTGTTTGTCAAGTTCGAACCAGGACAAATCCTAAAGACATTCTCAGGTAGTCACCAACCTCAGTTCCCCCCAACTCCCTCCTAACCACCACTCACTATCTCCCTCCTTAATACACCCACACTACCTACTACTTCTTCTGTAGGAACCAAACCCACACTACCATTCGGGCAATCCCCAAATACTTTTCTTTCGTTCTCATTTCTCTTTTCACCCCTCCTTTTCTTCTCCTTCCCTTTTCTCTTCCCTACATTATTATTTTTTTCTCTTCCTTATTTCTCTCTTCATTCTTTTACCACTACCTTACTATTCTCTTTCAGGTACCTACACAGACAGGAGTCACGGTTGTTCTCTAAACTTCCCAGCAACCAGTAGCTCCCCAATCACTCTACAAATTACAACCTACTAACCCACAAAACATCCACCTCACCGAAGCTAAAAGCAATAAGGCAGAGGGGATTTCCTCGTTTTCTGCAGCAGTGAACCGAAGAACTAGAACCAAGCCCTAGGAACTAGACGCGAGCGATCAAAACTACCAGTTTTCTACGTTCGCACTATCAATATTGGATATTGGAATCCGCCAAAGACCTGAAACCTTTCCACAAGACCTAGAAGCGAGCACGAACAAATCAGTTGGTTTACATTAGCTCGTAAAAAGATACTGGATATTGGAACTGGTTTTACCAACTCGTAACAAAGTTATTGGATATTGGAGTATTCACTCGATTTTTAAAGATTGCGGGTTTCTCAGTTAGAACGGACGAAATTGAAATTGTATGTTCTATCATATAATTTTCCTGTTTTGCTTTTTTGTGCAAGCAATAGTCACCGTAGTATTTTGAGTTTGTATATGCAGTTTCATTCTACCTGTGTGCAATATTGTCGTCTCGCACGTAAATTTTGTGTCCAGCATCGCTAGTGCGCATAGGAAAGTGTTAGTTTTAGTGTTAGTTTAGTCTATGTCTTGAGTCCCAGTTCTCTGTTTATTTTTAAGCTTCATAGGTGTCTAGAGAATTCCAATCAGTTTAGTTACCTTGGGCAAAAGATGCTGTGATTGACTGGTTAAAGGTTTTCATTCGTGAATTGTTAACTACTTTATTTTGGGGGCCAATAAAGACACTCAGGCCAATGAGTTTTTATCCAATTTCTGTCTACATAGGTACTTGTAATAAAGTAATAAGGCGTTAACTCAAGTGTGCAAACTCACAGGTGAATGCAACAACTGGGCACAAATTGTTCATGTTTAATATTCCATAAAGAAAGAACTGGAAGACCACTTAGTTTCTTGCCTCATAGTATGACTCAGTTATTGAGGGTTCTTCGGAGATTTCAGACTCAAAACATAACGTTTGTCTTGTGAAGAGATAATGTATACATAACTGGTCGTGTATGAACAGTTTTATTATTATTAGTCCCTTGGGTTCCTAATGGAACATAGGGCTTCGGTAGCACGTCTCCAGTAAACTCTGTTCTCTGAAATCTTTTGAACCTGGCTCCAGGACAGCCCACAACCTCTCATCTCCTCCTCACACGATCTCCTCCATGTCACCCTTGGACGTCTAACTCGTCGCTTCCCATGGGGATTCCACTCGAGTAACTGGCCTGATGCGTGATGTCCCCAATCGGCCTTCTAAGTGTATGCCCAATACATCTCTACTTCCTTCCAGTGCATATTTTTTGGGTGATAGGTCCTTGGTTGGTTCGTTCCCAGAGCTCATTGTTGCTTATTCTTTCTGGCCATCTGATCTCCAGTAGCGAGCGTAAGCAGTTGTTGATGAATGTCTGTAGTTTATTGGAAATCCCTTTCGTAACGCGCCAAGTCTCTGAACTGTATGCAAGCACTGACTTGACTTTTGTGTTGAAAATCCGGATGTTGTTCTACATGCTGAGTGCAGAAGATCTCCACACTGGTTTCAGGCTAATGAACGCCTATCTTGCTTTTCCGATCCTGACTTTTACATCCTCGTCCTCGTCCGTGCCGCCTGTAGTTGAAACAGTGCTACCTAGATAGGTGAAGGAGGTTACTTCCTTTAAGTTTCTCCCATTGATGGTGATTGGAGTTTGTTGTTGTTGTTGGAGTTGTTGGTTGGGTATCTTCATCATCTCTGTCTTCTCTATATTCACTTGAAGTCCCGTCTTTGCTGCTCTGCCTCTCCTGTCAACTTTTTAGTTTTTGCCTGTAGATCTTCAAGTTGGTGTGACACTAGACACAAGTCACCGGCCAAATCCAAATCTTCTAGGTTGTTTTCCGCAGTCCAGCCAGCATATTCCCCTCTTCTCACTCCTCGTTGTTTGTTGTATGATCCAGTCCACTACAATCAGGAAGATTATGGGTGATAGTAGACAGCCTTGTTTCACTCCTGTCTTCACTTCAAAGGCATCACTGAGTTGAGCTTCCCACTGTGAATTACTTGGCTGGCATGTGGTTTCTTCACATAGTTGTTGAATGAGGTTGATAAAGGTTTGCGGTATTCCGTAGTATTGAAGCAGTTTCCAAATTACCTCTGGGTCGACGCTATCAAAGGCCTTCTCAAAGTCGATAAAGTTGAAGTGTAGAGTTGACTGCCATTCTATACTCTGTTCTATGATGATGCGTAGTGTGGGGTTGCAATTTGGTCCACACATGATTTGTACTTGCAGAATACAGCCAGCCTGTTCCGGTTGTAGTTTTGAATCCAGTGCATCCTTTAGCCTCTCCAGGATGATGCGGCCTAATATTTTGCTTGCTGTGGGTGGACAGGAGAGTGATTCCTCGCCAGTTCTTGCAAACACTGAGGTCTCCCTTCTTCGGGAGTTTGACAAGGTAACCCTTCTTCCAATCAATGGGCAGGTACCTTCTCTTCCTTCCACACCTTCTGCAATAGTGGTGTGGTGTGAGCATGTCCGCTGTTGTCTCTGCGTTTGTTCTCAGTGCTTCTGGCGGTATCCCATCTGGTCCTGCTGCTTTCCCACATTTCAGTAGATTTATGGTGTTCACGACTTCCATTTTGTTGGAGGATTTATGTTCACTTGTAGTTCTGTGGCTGGGCTGCTGGTAGTATTTCTGGACGAAGTGCAGGTGGTGGTGGTGGTGGTCGATTCAAGAGCTTTTTGAAGTGGTCGGCCCATCGTTTCCTCTGTTTCTCTTCTTTCGTAATTAAATTTCCGTCATCATCTTTTATTGGTTTCATCTGTGTTGGTCTCTTCCCAGATAGTAACCTGGTTATTTGATACAGTGTTGTCAGGTCTCTGTCTCTCTTACCTGCAGCCTATTCTCTTTCACTTGCCAGTGTTTCGTAGAAGTGTCTTTTGTCTTTCCGTGAACTCTTCTTCACTTCTTTGTCCAGTGTAGTGTTTTATACATTGTGCTCAGTTCTTCATGTCGTTGAGCATCCATGCACTGGTTTATCTTCTGCTTCACCATCCTCATCTCTCTCCTCTATCAGCTTCCATGTATCTGTCGAGATCCATTCCTTGTCTTCTTTCTTCTTCCTTCCTAATACTGTTGTGCAGGTTTCTTTCCACATCTCTTTCAAAGACTTCCAGTGTTCTTCCACACAGGTTTCTTCAGGGATGTTGCTCGATATCTCCCATTTTGTCTTGATGGCTGACGTGAAGATTTCCTTTGTAGTTTCATCCTTCAGTTTCCGAGTGTTGTACTTGAACTGTGGTCTATCACCAGCTTCCTTGAAGGCTTTTAACTTGATTTGGAAGGTAGGTTTCTTACAGTAGATAGTGAGTGGTGAGAAACTACATCTGCTCCTCTTCTTGACCTTGTGTTAAGTAGACTGCGTCTCCATTTTCTTGAGATTGAGATGAAGTCGATTTGATTTTTAGTGTGTCCTGGTGTCTGGTGAAATCGAATCCATGTCGCTTTGTGGATATCCTTGTGCTTGAACACACTGCCTGACTCCAATCACCAAATCGTTGAATGCACAGAATTTTGCAAACAATTCTCCATTCTCGTTCATCACTTCACCTAGCGCTACTCGACCCATGGTTAGTTCTCTTCCCGTGTTGTCCCCTCCCTGTTTGGCATTCATGTCGCCCATTAGAATTTTGATATCGCCAACTGAGATGGAGTCTTGTCCAGTGTTGGTTGCAGTTGTCTGTAGAATTCCTCCTTTTTCTCTTGCTCTGCATAATTTGTAGGTGCGTAACATTGTATGATTGTGACTTTCCTTCCTTTTGAGTTGAACCTTGCTGTCATGATCCTGATCATTGAGGAGATTGGTTCCCATTGCATGAGGGCCTTCGATGCTGTTGGGGACATCATGATAGCCACTCCATGACTCAGTGTGCTGGTGGTTGTCGTCTGGGTGACAATATCGGAGTAGATTATTGATTCTCCAGTTGACAGTTTGGAGAGTCCACTCCCATTCCATCTGCTTTCGCAAATTCCAAGCACTTCAATGTGATACTTTCTCATCTCGTTTGCAATCTGGGCTGCCTTGTCTGTTTCAAACATTGTGCAGAGAATCCTTGTCCCTATGTTAACTTTCGGTTTCATCGAGAGAAGCGAAGACACATCGGCCAATTGACTTCCCGAAGGCTTTCACCAACTGGCGTCATTTCACCTCTCCGATTGCAGCGAGGAATAATTTTGTTATTATATTTTATATATCGTTTGTGCTTTGAAGTTTCTGTAGCGGTTAGATTTGTTTTACGAGGTAGGGTTGGTAGCCCTATCCCCAACCTTCCCTCTTAACCCGGGCTTAGGACCGGCTAGTAACTAGTGAACTAGTTAACCAGGCGAGGTTATATGACCAGTTAATGGTTATTTATTCCTATTGCTGATTGTTTTTGGGGCAAAAGCTATCAATTTTTCCCACTGAATCTGGTTTCGTGTTGAAGCTTGGAAAACTCGGAACTCTTCTTGACATCACTCAGGTCGTTAGGAAATGTATTCTGAATCTCTCTTAGAGGCGTCATGAAGTTTAATCTTCAGCAATCCAGTATCCAATCTTAATAGTACCAGTGTAGAAAACTGATAGTTTTTGATCTCTCGCGTCTAGTTCTTGGGGCGTGGCTCATGTTATTTGTTTCGCTCCTGCAGTGGACAAAGAAATCTACTGCCTTCCTGGTTCCTAGCTCCTGTGTGGTGAATGTTTCTGTGGGTTAGTAAATTGCAGTGGTTAGAATTGTGTGCGTAAGGTAGCTGGTCACCGGACTGAAGACTGCTTTACACGTAAATAATTGAATAAACAGGTAGCGTCACTAAATGCTTTACTAAGTAGTAGCGAAACTACCGTCAAGTAGCGAATACAACTGCGCCATTGTGACCGATTTTCAAGCGTGTCACCGAGAGTCACCAACCACTGATTCCTATCATCTCCAGGACGCTGACCCCAGCCAGGCACTCTGCATTTCCCCCCACACAACTCAGACCAACAGTAAGACTTCATCAACTGGCGCCATGTCTTGGTCTGGCCACCATGAACTCTCCCAACCTAATTCAACCTCCCTTGTATGACATGTCAAGATAGACAGTGGCTCGACATGCACTGTACATGTCCAAAACGTTTCAGTCAACTCAGGTATACAACCTCATCAACCGTTTTAACTAGCACCCTTTACCTGACCACAACATTGCTCACACGGTGGTATGATTCCACTAAACGCTAGCAATGCTACCAAGATATCTGTGATCAAAGCCCTGTAATCGCTTCATCTTGTCTACTTTTAACTGCCTTGTTAGCTGTACATCAAGAGAGAACATCCTGTTTTGTAGTATACTCGTCCTTTGATAGCTAGTTGGATATCTCGCCAGTTTGCGCCAGAGATGAGGCAACTGCCCAAGTAAGTGAAGTAGCCGACGGATTCCACGGCTTCACTCTTTGTCATTAAACTGGAAGCAGTTAGATACCAGTCCTGGAGCATCATCTTACACTTGTTAGGTGCAAAACGCATGCCAGACATGCCCAAATTTCTGCTGAACGATGGGTGATTACACTGTGGTCTCTCTGTGTCCGCCATTGGTTTGATGTTAATGGATGCTAAGTACGGATAAAGTCGCAACAGACGATTACAGTTTTCGGTTCTTCGGTATAAGTTTCGTCAAATATCTCCTAGATTACTTTTTGAGTGGTTTAGCTTCACTACTTGAGCTTTAAGGTCATGTGCTATTATGACTACATCTCAACACTTACTTTCGGTGGCAAATTCGATAGCTTCCCATAGGATTCATCCCTTGTAACATCCTAACTGCAGTTGGTGTGTAGGGAGAGATAACGAATAGTCATCACCCAGTATCCCGATCCTTCCTATTTTTACTGATCTATTCAGTGGAACAGAAGACAGACGGCTGCTGACCGGTATCTGTCTGAGAAGTGCACCTTTTGCCCTACAGCCCAGTGGTATGCCTACACCAGCGAGTCACTGAGGGCTGGTAGTTGCGTCTTCAGATACTCGTAAGGTAGATTTCGAAGATTCACTGCACTTTTCAGGTGAGGTCAGCTTAATAATCACGCTCGGGTCCTGTATACCTGTCTCAGAGAAACGGCATACATCCATAGCTTGCGATTCCAGAGTTCTGGCGAGCGACGCTTGCTGTCTAACTTGGCATAGAGTTCGGAGGACGGAAGCTCCAACACGACACGGATAGCGGCGTCTTAGGAGTCAGGGGATGAGTTTTCGGTAGTTTCGATCGTTAGTGATGGTCACAGAGTGAGGTGTTGGAGAAGTGTACGGGACTTAATATTAAAATCATGAGGTAAAGGCAACGGGGGCGATAGAGTTAAGGAGGATAGGTTGGTCTCACCGTGCGGGGGTTATTTCTCCTCAGGGTACATGAAAGAGAAAAAGAGTTGTGTGACCCCAGAGCCCATGGGACATCTGCTTGAAGCCTATCGCAAGCCCGACCACCACATCAATGTAGCAGCTATCAGTCGGAGCTTATGAGTAATGCAGTAACGGTATAGCTGACAAGTCGAAATGTGGAGTTCAGATTCTGAAACCTAGTGGGTTTGAGTATTATTGACAGATTTGAGCAAATGCCTTGAAATTCCCAATAAGGTGTTGTTTTTCAGGGGAGTATATTTTAGAAAGATTCTAAAACAAGCAGGAGTTAGTATTTGGTTCCCACTCTTCGATCTTCTTACTGAGATTTCAACCTAGAAACCATTGGAATGACGTCAAGGACTGAACTTCTCATATTGGTAACCGAAGTGGGTTCATATAGCATCTGTTCCTTTCGAATCATGCAGCCTGACTACTTCATTGACAGGAATTCTCGAATTTTTTATATGAATGTACTTGGTAATAGACGCCGACGATTCTCTCTGTCATCCTTACGGAGACATTTACACGCGTAAAGGCAGTGAATGAAAACTTTCTTGTGAGACAAAATGAACGCATTTTGAAAGAACTCTGTATAATTGGTCTTACCATAACTTTGAGATCAGAGAATGAGACGTTTTGTTTCGGGGACTGACATTTTTTTATCGAATTCTGGTTTAAAAAACGAAGGTTAATCTCATTTTTTACAGTGGCATCAAAATTTCGACAAACAATCCTATTTAACAACTTTTGTTGTGATCATTTTTTCGTTCGGAAGTTCCGTTTATTTTCCGAAACAAAAGTGATATTATCCTGGGAGAAGATGTTTGCCGTATTTATTACATTGAACTAACCTAATGTTTTGCATTTACCTGGAAGTTTCTTGGTCTCTATGCAACAAAGCAGAAGATATGACGACTGTTCAAACTAAAATTCTTTAGTTCTAATGAGCTGTTCTGCTTTTATGATCATAAGTCTAGTGGTAATCAAGCCAAAACATACGGTTATACCATAGTCTCTGACTACTGGTTCAGGGTGTATTGTGAGGTACAGGCTTCCGAGTGATGTGGTTCATTAAATCAGATAAATGTTAATCGTAAATAGTCTTTATAAGACTGTCCAAAAAAGTCAAACACTTTTATGTGTCCGTTAGTCTAATATGAGGTCTGTAGCTTCTTGGATATTTTACTGACTGATGTGACAAGTCTTCGGTTGGATAACTGTCTCAGGGAGTTTGGTTAGTTACATGTAGATATGAATTGTCATCACCCAAATGAGGGGTGGATTAGACAGAAGAAGAAAATCTGTTACTTGTTGTTGTGTCAATTCCTGTATGCTGCTATTAATAGCGTTGTTGTTTCATTTAAGCTGCTCACTTTTGGAGACGGAGAGAGGGTGAGAAAAATGTACTCGATAATGACGTACCCATTCGTTCAGTATGCAGTGAGCAACAACTTGTACGAGGGCTACTGATACCTGATACCTGGCTTCCAAAATCTTGGTAAATGAACCCCAGCTTCACAAGTGGTTAGTGAAAACGTAGTAGAGACATGTCGGTCTGATGTCTGTGGAGCTGTTGCTCATAAGTCGAGGGCCTTGATTTTCAGTCAGCCGGTCACGGGTTCAAACTCCACGTAACCTCCTACCAAGCTGTGAACTTCCAGGCAATGAGTTTTCTCATCGTCTGCTGTACGAACGTGCAGATGATCACTGAGTTCGCTCCTGAGGCTGGAGCCAACGGAATTAATTACCCGGGTCTCAAACAGTTGGTCCTCTACTCAAACCTCATCCTATCTGTCTATCTCAACAGTTGTTTGGTGTAATTAGCCCTTACATTAAGCCTGGCTTAAAGCCTAGTTCATGAAGATGTGATGGATTACTTTGTTGCATCCAAAATTTAGTTCTCTATTTTCCGATAATGTTTCCGATAGTATTCAACCAAACATGAGATCTCTTCCAGTAGCCTTGTTATTCACAGAAACAACAAAGAGCTTCGAGGACTAAAGCACTTATCATATCAGATACAAAAAACGTGAAGCATTTACACGCAACCAAGTAAATATAGCTTGAAATCAGTTATTTTCTACTAGTTAGAATAGACCGTCTGTCATAGTGTCAACATGTCGTTAACGTAGAAGTCAGGCATAGAAACTTGGGTTGAAAAGATTTAGAACCTTCATGTACTAGGAGATATATGTTATGCACGCCTATGTTAGCTGCAGTAGGTTCAGACTGGAAAGAAGTTAGAGTTGGTCGGACCAAAAAATGGTATCAGTTCATGAAGTCTTCGGTCTGAGCTGCGCAGAAGAATGTAAACTTCTTGGTTGGAGTCCGTATGATAGCAGAAACCGGAGGCTGGAGATCGACTGTGAATGATACAGCTCAGAACCTATCTTAATTGTGCAGATGTATGCACGTGTCACCTTCATCTCAATCGTCATCCTGAATTTCAGTATTCTGTCAACTCCCCATGATTTATTCCACTGCTTTCTACTACTTTTGACTATTCTCTCCTCTGCTTCTTTGTCTTTCATGTTACCGCTCTCTCGCGTGATATTTGGATATAAGATGTGGCAACTTGGACCGTTATGCAGTAATACCTGGTCTTATGTTGATGACTTCCGATTGATAATCTAAGGTACGCAGGAAGCTTTAAGTTTGTTGTTTATTGTACTCACTAGAAATATTTTGGTGATCGTATACTTTAATAAAAAAGAGTTAACACAACTTAGGTATTGTTTATTGGTTTTTGTACCATGCTGTCCTTCACGTGTATCGTAAGAGGAATGTGTTGCAAGTTTGTCTTCTTTTAAATCTTGAGTTCCGTTTTCTGTCTTTGTCAGGAGAGTAGAAGTTGAAGAACGAACTTGTAACAGTTATGAATTTGAACATCTGATGATATATCTGGGTTTTTAAACAGACTGCAGTTCAATGTAGGCTTCAAAAGCCGTATGGTTTTACGGAAATTTATTCACTACAACACTCGATATGAATACCTGTGACGATGAGATAAGTGAACAGTTATTTAATAAGGTTGTAAAATTTCACTTTTGTATTATTGCAGTCAACAAACTGAGATATTACCTTCTGTTCTCTTCCCTGATTCTTTCCCTTTGATGATTACTCGACGATATGTACCTATGTGGTCATCACTCTACTTTCCTTTCTTTCTCTTCTTTGTTTGTTCATGTGCTGATTCAAAGCGTGACTTTTCGGTCTCATGTTGAACTTTTCCAGGTTCTTCTTTGTATTAAAAAGATAACTTTAAGGGAATTAACTGTAGGACTAGAGGTTTACTCTAGTGAGTTGTTTTGAGTGTGTACATATCCTTTATTGATGAGTTGTAGTTTCCATTTGTCTATTCTTGCTTACATCTCTCCCTTGAAGCATTTTCCCACTTTTTATCTTCCTTATCATTGATGTTCATAATTCAGAAGTCGCTTTGTAAAGAAAGGAGTCTCAATCAGTCATACAACTATCTATAATCCATAGGATATTGGTTAATTTTCATAGCTTTGAAAACCTACTAGAATCAGTCACGTTGATTTTGTCTTAGTAGTCTGAATATCAGCCAGTTTGATGTATTTCCTGTAAGCATTTCTCACTGCATCACCTCTTAGTTTTCAGTACAATGAGTCAAACAAAGCATTAATGATGATGCGCTCATATCTGATGCTTCAGTGTGTTGGATATGCTAGTCGAAAATGGCATGACTGATTATCATTTCATATGGCTGTGAAACGGCCGTTAAAAGTAGGAGATATGTAGCGATCACAGATGTTTAATCATAGGTATCTTCATAGCATTGGTAGTGTTTGATCGAATCACACCACCGTATGAACAATGTTGAAGTGAGACGAAAGGTACTAGGCAAGACAGGCAAGGCGATCGATTTAGTTGTGAAGCTTAATCGAATGAGATGGCTTGGACATGTACTGTGCGTGTCGAGCCACTGCCTACCTCTACGTACCATGGAAGAGAAGTTGGATTGTGTTGGGAGAGGGTTCATGGTGGTCAGACCAAGATGAGACATCAGTCGATGAAGTCTTTGACTGTTGTGCTGAGTCGTGTTGGGAGATGTGGACTGTCTAGTTGGGGTACCTGAGACGATAAGATTCAGTGGTTTAGGATTTTTGGTGACATGACTTGAAATCAGTGACAATGTCGCAGATGTAATCACTCCTTGACGTCTTCTGGAGCTTGAATATTTGCACTAACCGTTTTCTTCAGATTATTTGTTCTTTCACACAACTGTGTCTACCTTTGTATCACCCCTTTTAAATCCACTTGTTCCTTGTGAACTGCTGTGACGTGTGGCAACATGAACCAACGCACTTGTGTGAGAGGTTCTACGTTGATTTTGTCAGTCAGTTATTTAGTCAGTCATGAGTGGCTACCACTCACATAGTATGCCTGTAACTTTTGAGATCGTCTAAAAATAGCATCACTTCACTTTTTGGTTCTGTTTACTTGTAGTACATCTTCCTAAACATCAGTGAATCAGAGTCCTCAACATTCTTTATCTTAGATTATTACACATCCACCCACTCGTAAACATGGTTTCTGTCGACTAAATCGCTTGATTGTAGCTTCTATATGTCCTGCACAAAAAGATGTAGAATCGATCGTATTTGTTTGCGCTCAGAAGTTGTTCATCTACCTATCTTATTGGCTAATATTACTGTAAGTCTCATTAAAAAGTATGCATAGTTTATAGGGAGTTGCTTTTAATCACAACACTTGTTGTCCTGTTTTCCAGTATGGTAAACTGTAACATTCGATCTATTACAATTCTTGGTGCTAGTTAGTAGTTTACTACGTTGCGGAGATTCCAAGAATCATCTGGTAGTATGTGTGCAGTGTCAAAGTAGTGTGCTAATCTCTTCACATCACCATAATTAACTTTTATCATTTGCATAAGGGATCTCAGTTGAGTCTTGCAACCAGGTGATTACCATAAGTAAAGATATTTCGTAGCATCGTTTTGTCTCCCTATTCCTTTTTAATTGCATGATAAATATTCTGTTAAAATTACTCTGATCCGTAGTATAAAAGTAATAATTCTCAATACTTGTTGTTTTATCATATATGAGGGTTAATTCTCACTTTATTTTAGTGAATTTCCTCACTTTTAGCATAAGTTGTTTTCAAGTGTAATGCATTCCTTTTTCACTATATGTTGAGTAATTCTTGATACACACACATTTTTCGTGTCTATGTCAGATGTGATGAGTGAACTCTGTAGAATTAATTTTGTTTCAGATTAAAGCGTTTATCTTAAGTGGCATCTTTCTATCTTTTAAATCTTTTTGAGGTGATATGGGTAATTGGTTTAAGTTTTCGATTTACAAGCAAGTGAGTCATGAATCCCAACCCTATCCTACCTTCCTTGGTTTGGACGATCGGGTAGTATCCAAAATCCCTCACACGCTTCATATGACTCCCGTAGCCTAGTACACATAAACCTGTACTGGGAAACCCTGAATCTAACTCTCAAACTGTTTGACACATTTGTCGGTAAAATGTACTTGTGGCATCTATAAAAGCGGATTCCGACTCATGTTACCACTTGCCACAGTTAGCGGTGCTATAACTAATTTATTATCACTGCAACTGAATCGTGATATTTTAATTCTTATTATTATTCTCATTCCCGACCGATAGCTAACCTTGACGTGGTGGTCGGGCTTGCATATCACAGTGACCCAGCGAGCTACACTGGTGGAACAATTGTTCCCTCGAGGTCCTACCATACCAGAAAGGTCTGTTTGATAATGGTTAGACGAAAAGCAGTTACCGTTGTGGTGTAAATTACTACACTATGATGGGGTGTCTGTAGGCGAAGTCCTACTGCTGCTAGCTGGATGGGGTGTGACAGCAGTAAGGTGTTTCCCCTGGATGACCAGCAGTGCCATGTTGATGCTGCCTTCTCAGTGGAAGGGGGGGGGGTTAGAAATGGTCGGCCCCCAAAATAATACACTCCACCATGCCCCACGGTCTGCCGAGCCGGCGGTGTTGGTTCATTTGTCGTTTCTTTTCGACCATCTGGCCCCAAAAATACAAAAGTTCAAAATCATACTCAAAAGGCAGCGTGTTACAGGTCTCAAGCAGATGTCCGGTGGTCTCTGGGGTCACACAAATCTCTTTCAGGTGCCTTAAGAAGAAATATTCTTCCACGGTGTCGGCAGCCGAAGTGTCAGTCGCCCTCACCACTCTATCAGCACTCAAGTTTCTTTAGACTGCTAAGCAGGATCAGCCCTAGTGGCTCAGTTGGCCGACAAAATTTCTGCACGGATACAAGAAGCTCGGCTGGCTTTTACCAACTTCCGCCACCTGTGGCGTCGCCGTGATATCCGACTGCCTTTCTATTAAGGGTCGCGTGTACTACACAGCAGTCCGGTCTGTTCTATTGCATGGCTGTGAAACATGGTCATTAAAGGTGGAAGACATGAGAAGGCTTCAGGTGTTTGACCACCGTTGGCTTCGTAGTATAGGCCGTATTCCGTGGTGTCACCATCTGAGTAACGTAGAAGTCAGGCGTGGGGTTTTAGACAGGAGAGGCAAAACAGTTGACACTGTTGTGAACCTTCATCGACCGAAATGGCTGGCTGGGACGTGTGTTACGTATGCCTAGTCGCCCATTGCCTCATCACACAATGTTGGCCTAAGTAGGTTCAGGTTGGAAAAGGGCTGTGGGCTGCCAGACAATGTATGAAGTGTTTGACTGTTGGAGCGATACGGACTAGCTGGTTGAGCTCTGAGGGACAGGAGAAACCAGTGGTTGTAGACTGACTCTAGGTGCTACGGCTGAGAACCGATGTCAGTGGCTCATTGTATCCCCACATGCACATTATCCTCATCTTAACGCTATACCGAATCTCATCATTTTCTCATTCTTCCTTTCTCTCTTTTCGTACTTTATATTTCTTCTAAGTGAGTTTTCTCTTCTTCATCTTCCACTTTACTGCCTATTTGCTTGATGTAGTGATATGATGTGTGGGGACTTGGATCGTTATGCAGTAATGCCTGGTCCTATGATGATGGATGATTATTATTATTCTCATTAAAGCAACTATTTTGCCTATTTGGCATCTTTTCTGGTCGGATGAAACCAAAGATTGAAGGAAAACTGAACGTATTTCTGTTTTATAAAGAATGGTGTGGGCATAATTACCATTGCTATTATACACAGCGGTATTCGCAATGTGGATTTATGCACCATTAAGCGTATGTGTTTATTTATTAATTTCCCGCTGTTATTCGAGGTCGAAATGACTGACCTGTATGGGAAAACCGGCTCCTATGCGGATGCCTCGATATTGCCTTATTATTGATTATACTGTAATTTGCTTGGCGGTGGCTAGCACTGGGATCCAGGACGCGAGTTTCATCTTATCTGGGACTTGTCAGCTGGGTTTGCCTGCACCCCAATGAGTGATGTTGTCCGTACTGGGACTCGAACGCGGTACCCATAGATTCAAACACCAAGGTGTTATCCGCAGGGGAGATTAAAAAGTACCAATACATAATGATAACTGATACCTGCTACACTAGGGGTGGCTGTCGTGCCCCAGTGGCCTAGTGGATAACACCTTGTTGTCTGAAGTGATGGGCACGGGGTTCAAGTCCCAATGGGAACAACATAACTCACTGAGGTGCAGACGCAACCTGCTGATGAGTCCCAATTAAGACGAAACGCACATCGTGGATTTCACTCCTAACCACAACCAAACAAATTACAATATAAGTATGTAAACGTATTAGCAAGTTAAATTTATCTCTTATTTTCAGCGTTTTTGGAACACATTTCGCTGTCAATTAACGATCCATATACCTCTTAAATGCTGACAACAGGTATGTTCATCTTTTGATTGGAGCAGAAAAGCTAACCACTTAACTTTAATCTCCCTCTGTATCAATCTATAGGCTTTAGAAAGGCCTCAAATTCACGCCCGTTAATAACTACAGCAATTATTTTATGGATATGTGTTATTCTCTACTTAAGCTTCAATTTCTTTAATTTGGAAAATAATGATCAGAAAAATACAGCATGTCAGTCATTATTAGATGTTGTTAATGGTTTAAAAACACGAGTTGATATTGGATCAGAGAATTTACAATTATTTCTCAAATCATATGATAGTCAGTAAGTTGTAAAAATTTTTCAGTTATTCTCCTTTAATGTTATTTCATGTTCGACTATTTATAAAAATCTAGTTTGCCTCAGATAGCCGTGGTTTGGCAGGCTTATATTATTGACACCGAGTAGTGATTGAAGATGAAATAGAAATTTGGACCGCGGCTTGACTCGAAACGGCAACCTCCAGGTTAGCGGTCTGGTGCTCTGTCAATTGAGCTACGAGGTTCGACTGTTGACCAGGTTTTTGTTTCATTCCAATCACTAACGGTTTTACCCGACGACTACCATGTGAATTCGTGACGCGTTACTATCACTTGATCATACTCACACTAGCTGCTTAACTGGGACTTCTTATCCTAATACAAATCAACTTGAATTTGAGAGAGAGGCTCAGCATCATATTGATTATCTTGTCTTTGCATTCAGGTACTTTTGATCCCAGGTAGTTCAGCAGTGCTCTACTACAGAAAAGTTGATAAAATATCTGGCAGTTAGATCACAAACTGCGCATCTCAACTCTGTTGTAACCCACATTTTATGTTAGCTTTGATCATCCCCCTTTTACGTGGGAAACCAGTTGGTTGGTGGCTACATGTTCACTGTGAGAACTCATAGACTCGAACTTGATCCCTGGTGGGATCGTCGGTACACACTGCTGAAGCGTATTAAACTCAGGTGTGAAGCAGTTGTCAAGTTTTGAAAGCTCTTACTCATTCGTATAGACATCCTACTGTCAACGATTGGTGTTTGGGTTTGAAACCCGCTTTATATGCGACCAGTTGATACTATCTATCCTCGCACTATGTGTGTGGTTCATTGTTGAGATAATGAAGAATATATGTAGCTCAGGATGAGTCTGAAGATTGTTTGGTGTTCTCCGAGCCTTGAGGTTTGTTTGTGGATGTTTCATCACTAGACTGAGTGACTTCATAACCAGTTACTTCATATGAAATTCATTGTATAGTACAATGACCTGAACATGGTTACTGTTCTGTTATACGTCTGTGAGACATGGCTGTTAAAACACGAAATGAAGTGAATACAGGTTTTAATCATAGATGCCTCCGTAGCATTACACGCGTATGGTAAAATCACCGCGTGAGTAATGTTGAGATCACGTGTAGGGTACTAGGCAAGATAGGTAAGTAGTTCGCTGAGTTTGTGAAGCTTAGTCGACTAAGATGGCTTGGAAATGTACTGCTCATGGTGAGCCACCACCTACCTCATCATGTCATTCATTCTAGGGGAAGTTGGATTAGCTTGGAAGAGGGTTCAGTTCAGCGTGACCTAACCAAAACGTGAGAACAAGTCCTGAAGTCTCTGACTGTTGGTCTGAGCGGTATTGGGAAATATAGACTGCCTGAATAAGATCAGGGTCACCGAGACGATAGGAATCAATGATTGAGGTATCTTGGTGACATGATTGAAAATTGGTCACAGTAGCTCAGATAAAGTCACTCCTTGACTTCTAAAGCTTGAATATTTGCACTAACCGTTATCTTCAAATAGTCTATTCTCTCACACAACTTTATCTACTTTGATATGAGTCTTTTCCCATCCGTTTTCTCTTTCTATACTACTGTGAAGTGCAACAAATTGACGCGATTTACTTCTTTGTGAGGTTCCACGTTGATTGAGTCAGTCTCACATGGATACAAAGCTAAATTCTTATTATCTTGATGTGAGGAGCATTCTACCAACCAGAGCTTGGCACAACTTTCCATATGTAGCTCTAGCGATTTGTATTCTACATCTGGTAAATTCTAAATAATTCAATTCAGAAGAAAGAATAAGCTTACAAATTTTTGAATTTTAGGATTTCACGGGACATGGCTTTTTCATGCATGTAAATGTTTTTATCATACATGTTTTATTGACTTTAGTGCTACAGCACAGCACAGCCTAGCACAACACAATACAACAATTACTACAAATTTTGGCATTTTATGCCTTTTCCGCTCAATTTTGTTATTAATTTTTGCTTATTGTCCTATATATGCACATAAACAAACATACAGAAATACGCATGTCATTCGAAACAACTTGTGGAAATTGTTCGCATAAGAATGATGAATTTTTTGGTTTTCCCTATCTCACTCAATAACTACTCATCACTTTGCCACACTTCACAGTAGTACACAAAGAACAGATGGATAAAAAAAGGAGTGATATCAAAGTAGATAAGTTGTGTGTGATAAAGTAAACAATCTGAAAATAAAGGTTAGTGTGAATATTCGAGCTTTAGATGTCAAAGAGTAAATGCATCTGCCTCATTGTGACCAATTTTCAGTCATATCACCAAGACTCCTCAATGACTGATTCCTGTCATCTCGGCAACCCTGATCTCATCCAGACAGTTTACATCTCTCTCTCCCACACAACTGAGACCAAACGTTAGAGACTTCATCTGCTGGTGACTCTTCTTGGTCAGGTCACGCTGAACCCTCTTCCAACCTAATCCAACTTCTCTTAGCATGGTACATCTAGATTGGTTAGCATATATTTTATTCTCTAAGTTTTGATTGAAACCGTAGGTGGCTTACACACTGTCCTTTTGTATCAATAACTCTGAAATAATACTTTTTACTCCCGAAGTACTGTGTATGTATCATTAATTCTTCAATTACGTCGTAATTGCACATGTCTGGCTTCATACTCAATCCTTGTAGAAAAGGAATGAAATTTTTTTCCCAATCGATAGGGATTGTTTTCCCCTCAATTTCAGACATAGCCAACAGGGCGTTGTCATTCTTCTTTCTTTCTTTTTTCAACGACATAAACACTTATTTCCTCAATTTTACAACTGTTCTGCTTTGGCTATCTGCAGTTTTGTATACCAATCTTATCATAGGAAAATTTCAATTGTCACATGTGTGCTAACAACAAAATGCATAAACTGTGCTTTTTTCGAAACCTGATCTTTCAAGAAAACTTACAAATTGTCTTGACGCAACCAGTTTTCAGTAAAGGCTATTCTTTCTCCTGATATGCTTTCATATGGCTTATGGAAGGGGAAGGCGAGTGTCCGAAACTTATCATCTAATCGACGTTGTTTGTGTGTGTGTGTGTGATAATACGGTAAACCTGGAATAACTGGATAACCAGTGGCATAGATTGGATGTCGTCATCATCATCATCATTATCAACATAGGACCAGGCATTACTGCGTAACGGTCCGAGTTGCCACACCTCATATCACCACATCAAGTAAAAAGGTAGTGAGGTGAAGGATGAAGATAAGTGAATGCAGTCAAAAGAAATATAAAGTACGAGAAGAAAGGAAAGAGGAGTGACAAAATAGTGAGATTCGGTATAGCGTTGTTAAGATGAGGATAATGTGTGTATACATCTGCGCCACTGACTTCGGTTCTCAGCCATATCACCTAGGGTCTCCAACCACTGGTTCCTCTTGTCCCGTGGACTCCAACCACCTAGTCTGCATCGTCCTACATGGCTTAAACCAACAGTCAGAGACTTCATACATTGGTGCCATGTTTTAGTCTGGCCACCTCGGGCCTTTTTCCAGCCTGAACGCACCTCAGCCAACATTGTGTGAGGTGGATGTGAAACTCATAACAAGCGAGCAACGTAAGAAGCTTGCGCACAATGGAATCCAGTTAAGATGGGAGATTAGAGACTGGTGTCCATTGGAAACCTACATATTCTAATCACTACTTAGTCTTCAAATTATCTTCTTCTATTTCAGTTAACCTGGACCTAGTGAAATGCCTAAATAACAGAGTGATGTTTCGGCTCATTGGCTATTAACCAATACGCCAGGGGTTCGGACGCTGTTACACCTACCGGGGTTTGGGCTGCCAGGTTGTATCACTAGCTGTTACACAATAGGTGTGGTTCATTGTCTATTGTGTAAATGTGCACAAGGTTGCTAAATGCGTTTTGTTTTCGTCCATTCGTTTCGTTCTGAGTAATAAGGAATAAAATCTGAGACAAGAAATCAGGTACAATAGGGAAACCTTGGTAAATGAGTTCTTAAGAAATATCAGGAAGACTATGAGCAGTGATCCTGACATTATGAAGACAGAATTCAAAACTCCTACTGTGTTAGCATACAAAACAGGCACATCAGAGGTTTTGTGGTGAATTATCAATAAGGCTACGATTACATTGGCATTCCAGCCAACAAACTCATTTGGAGACAAGCTTTTTAGTCTAGAAGATCCTATTAATCCAATTCAGCGAAACAAATTCCTTGCAATAATTACGAGGCCAAGTACATAGGTCAATGTAGTTAACCATGGTATATTAGATTATCCAGGTACAAGAGCTTCCATAAATCAAGATTAGTCCATCCCATCCTGGTAAGATGGGCTTTGTCTACGCATACATCTGCATACAATAAGATGGAACAGAGTGACAGTCCTTCAAACTAGCTTAGTTAGTTGGAGGAAGAGATTGAAAACGGAATCTTTGTTTATCAAATCAACACTAAATTCGTGCGATATGTATAATTCTGCACTTGTTCTAGCAGTAAGGTGAGGGGGGTGGCCGGGGCTAGGTTAAAACTTTACAAACCGTGAATAAATTTTGTCCGAAACGTTATCCAGTAAATAATTCTGTTTCATCACTATGTGACACATCTGATAAATCAATTGAAGTAGAAAAAATTCGAGTCCTTGTTGTGCATAAAACAAGCTAAAAGTAACATGTCAGTAAGAAAGCTCATTAGTAGTGCATAAACCTAGTCAACAGTAACTATTTATGAGGGGTCAGTTTAGATTTCATTTGATATTCCAATTCTCATGGATTGTCGATTGGGTGGGGGAAAAACTGTTGCTTTGTACACTCGATGCTTACTACGGCCATTGGGTATCTGTGTAAACATGTCATTCTATGCTATATTAATTTCAAATTACAGTCTAACTGCTGTATATGGTGAAATGATACCATTTTTAATCAAAATCATAGGATTTAGACACCCGTATCCATGTTCACATCTAATCTGAAATTGGATCTACATACTACTCCATCCATCATGAAGCAGG